TGAGTATTATTATACATTGTTCCTTGCTTAAATAAAACATTCTGTAAAGGAAATCTAAATTTTAAAAAAGTAAAAGTGAACTCTCACAGATAAATATGCTTAACACCAAGGCCCAAATCAGTAAGAAAGCCCTGAAAATACCACTTTGGCAATGGCATTTCTTGTACTGTACTAAGGAAAGAAGAACACGCATTTGGGGGAAGTGTCTTCTCCAAGGCCTGATGCAGCCAAATGAGCTCGACAGAAGAAGAAAAAAGGAAGACATCACCAGCTCCAAAAAGTTCAGGAAACACTGCATCATCAGACACAACTGCACAGAAAACCGCTTTCTGCATTAGATAACAATTTAGTCAGGAAAAAAGAGAAAAAAGAAAGTGCATCCCAAACAACTGAACAAATCTATGTATCATATTCAACTTAGGAGTCAACAAAGTGCAATCTACAGCTCTCTACGTTTCTTAAGTTTCCCATTGCAATAGGTTAAAGTCAACAACGAACAACTGAAGGAAACAAAAACAGACAGCAAATTCTGCTCCATTTTTCACAATAGCACTAAAGAGAAACAAAGGTACCTTTCTATATCTTAGTGTGAAATGCTAACGTAACAGTGGTTTCTGCTATGACAGGAGTCACTCTGCATGAAACTTTAAGCCTTCTATATAAGAATAAATTTTAAAATCCAGAAGTAGAAAAAAATAGCAAACTCTATAAACCTTTGCATTTCTTCTATGCAAACCAGGTTTTAAGTACTGAGTTCATGTTAGTATTTCCAATTAGTGTAAGCAATTAGTTTGGGAGTCTGGACTGAAAGGGCCTCTTTCATATTAACTTAAAAGTAATATGGGATCCTCTAGCTCATAGAAAGGAATAGAACTGGCTTGACTTTCTCCAGAATCTGAGTCGTACGGAGCATCAGGGAGCTCTGTGAAACCACATGCCAGTTGTTCATCTTCTATATCTGATCGAACATAGCAGGAAGGGTTAGAATATTCCTCATCTTCTACACTGTTGAAATCTTGAGGAATATATAACATTCCTGGGTAGTTCCTACTAACTAAGTCACTTGTGGTTTTCAGGGAGATTTTCCTAAATGCCATCAGATGCATATGTGAAAATTTTGAATACTTGAAGCGTTTAAAGCCCAGGGACTCTATAGCAATCTTCCAGCTTTTCATCATCATAGCATGACGGTTCTGATGAGAAGAATCAGGTGTGATGATAAGTAATAAACCATTTAACACTAGCAGTTCATGAGCTTTCTTGCAGCAAATCCACCGCTGGTAGGGTGATGGAAAATAGGAAAGAAGAAGGGAGAAAACCACCACATGGAAAAGCTCTCCAGGGAGGGCATCAATAGGGTTTTTCAGCTGCTTCAGAAAAGCATCTATAGCATCCTGTGCAAGCTGGAGTGGCTGCTGAAGCTGCAAGTTCAGGAAGTCACATTTATATACACTCTGCAGAAAGAAAAAAGGTAGGTTAACAATTTCAAGATGACTTTCACATTACTACACAGACTTTACCCAAACTACTTCGCCTTTCACAGCACTTCCACATAATCCCAACTTTGACTATGGACCTTTCTCTTAGAAATAATTTTAAATATATATTTTGAAAAATTGTGTTTGTTTGAACTTTGAATAAGAGTTTACAGGAATTATTTATTTTTAGGCTCACTTCCATGTACATTCACTTTAATATTTAAAGTTATTAGAAAGAGCCTAACATTAAAACAACATTTAAACAAAAGTAGAAAATAGGATGAATCCAATAAGTTGAAGAAAGTAATGAAGCATTATAAAATCTATACAAGTAGAATGATGCCAAAAATTTTCAAGGTTGTGAAAACAGTCTTATTTATATTAACTATTTAAAAATGAATACTAATGCTACTATTATTCTATTTAAAAGGTTAATCCTTGGTTTGAAAAACTACATATTAAATTTAATCAATACTCAAATATCCCTGGGAAGCACTACAAAAAAAGGAATCAGACAAACACTAGCCAGAAGCAAGTTGGTCTGGCTTTTTTTTTTTTGCGGAACTGGGGATTGAACTCAGGCCCTTGCGCTTGCCAGGGAAGTGCTTATTCTATTGAGCCATCTCCCCTGCCCCTAAAAAAAGGAAGCAACATTGCATAATTTGCTAAATATTAAAACTATCCAAAAATACCAAGTAAGATACTTTGGCTCCTAAGTGTCCCCTGATGGTGAGGGTGGTTGGTAGAGGCTTATTTCCCGCAGGGTCCTGGGCCTGCTGAGAGCCTTCATCTCTGGGGTGTGTCCTGGACGGACCTGCAGCCCCGGCACCTGCATCTCGCTTCTTCCTGGCCACCATGTGAATGGCTCTGCTCTGGCACGCAAGGCTCCCACGCTGTCTGGCCTTGCACAAGCCCACAAGCAAAGGACTGCATTGGTCATGAACTGAAATCAGTAAAACTGAACCAAAGTAAACCTTTTCTGAATCGATTATCTCAACTTATTTTTTTAGTGAGAAGCTAACATAGAGGCATTTTTAAGTAAGCTAAAATTTCACAATCTTTATTACAAAGCAATATTTACTAACAACAATATGTGCTACTACTTTATAGTTTTTTGCTCATGCTGGTAGGTAGACAAGCTGGTCACTTAGTCATCTGAACTGCCTACTAGGGAAAGCAATACATAATTTTCTGTTAACAGGAAAAGGGCTTTTACTCCTCCCTTTTGCTTATTTTTCCTTAAAGATGGCTTTATTGAAACATGATTGACACAAAAGCACATTTAAGTGTATACTTCGCTAAGTTTCAACTTCCATACACAGGAAACCATTGCCATGTCAACCACATAATTAAATCCAACAGCCCCCACATCTTCCTTTCTTTCTATACTGTATTCTTCCCTTGCCACCAGACAAGATTCAAGTAATTTCTATAATTACAAATTAATTTGTGCCACCCACAATTTTATACAAATGGAATAATAAAGAACATATACTTATTTTGTCTGTCTTTCTTTCACTAGCGCAATCATTTTGAAATTCACAGGGGATTTTTTTTTGCAGGTATTATCTTACTCTTTATTGCTTAATGGTATCACATTTTAATCTAGTTTTCCATATTTATGTATATTTGGGCTGGTTCTAGTTTTTTACTACAACTCATGACTTTATGAATGTTCTTCTGCAAATTTTGAATGGATAAGTCATTCATTCATCTCAGATAAATATCCACGGAAGGGAAAGCTGAATCAATAGCAAGTGTACATGTAACCTTTAGAAGAACTGCCTCAACTTTTAAAAGTGGTTATATAGTTTCTACATTCCTACTCCAAGTACGTGAAGGTGCAGTTCTTTCAATTCTCACCAACTCTTGGGAGAGTCAATGTTTATAATTCTATCAATTATAATACGTATTAATGGTATACTGTGGATTTAATTTAAATTTCATTAATAAGTAATGGCATTTATCTTCTGTTCATGCACTTATTTACCATCTGGTTTATCTTCTTTGGAAAGAAGATACTTCAATCTCTTCAAATCTTTTGTCCACTTAAAAAGTTCGATTGCTTAAAATTTCTAAAAATCACTTTCTTACTGTGGCACTCTAAGTGTTTCTCTTTATTTTATTTTTTGTATCAGGGATTGAACTCATGACCTTGCATTTGCCAGGCAGGTGCTTTATACAGCTGAGCTATCTCCCTGGCTCGTTGTGTTTGACACTGTCTCTCTCTCTCTCTCATATACATTATATATTTATATATATCTGGTGGTAGTGGGTCTCACTACACAGGTTAGACTCAATAGCAATCCTGTTTTCAGCCTCCCCAGCACTGGGATTTCAGGCATGCATCACCATGGCCCATCTCAGTGGCCCGTGCAGTGTACCTGGGGCAGGGCTGGCATGGCATGTTGTGCCGGGCATTAAACCCTGATTCCTAACTTATACATTCTTGATGGAAGTCTTTTTTCACACGTATTACATGTGTCTTAGTTATGTTTCTCATTGCTCAAAGTTCCCAATGACACCCAAAGTTAAAATAGGAAAGGTTTATTTAGCTCACAGTTTGCAGAGGTTTCAGTCCATAAACGGCTGGCTCCAAGGCGGGCTGGCATGGTAGACAGGCATCACAGAGGAAAAGTAACTCACGTGGGCAGAAGGTAGCAAAGCAACAAGGGGCCTTAGCAGCATCTTTCTGCCCCTTTTATCATATCCAGAGTGCTCAGGGTGGGCAGTGCTCACACCTTCACTCCTTGTGCCCTTGAGTCAAGCACTGGACAATTTAGCAATTCCAGCACGCACACTAGATCCAGCCACCTCTGCAAAAGCCTCACCTATGGCTGCAGGAGGCTGTGGGTGACATCTAGGCAATAAGCCGTAACAACATGTAAATATTCTGTGTTTCTTGTCTTTCATTCTTTTAACAGTTATCTACTGAAAAGTCCACATTTTAACTTTTGGCCAATACCAATTTACCATTTGTTCTTTCTTTGATCTTGCTTCTGGAGGTTCAACTAAGAAATCTTCTCTTACCTCAATGTCACAAAGATTTTCCTTAGTAGCTTCTTTTATAAGTTATTATACTAAGGTTTCCATTTAGTCTGCTCTTCAAGTTTATTTCTGTATATGTCATGAAGTACGGTCTAACATTCTTTTTCTTTTGTATATGGATATTCATGGCTTAATATTATTTGTTGAAAAAATCCTTTTGTTGAAAATCTATCGTGTGCAGCCATGGGGCACACTGCATGTGGGCCTCTTCCATTTCATCAATTATCCAGACATCAATATCACACTGTTTTTTGGTTTTTTTCTTTTTGGGGAGTACCAGGGATTGAACTCAGCACCTTGTGCTTGCCAGGCAAGCACTTATTTCACTGAGCTATATCCCCAGCCCCCACACTGTCTTGATTAGTTTTATAATAAATTTTGACCATTTTTGGTATCAGGAATCGAACTCATGACCTAGCACTTGCCAGGCAGGCACTGTACCACTGAGCTATATCCCTGGCACTATAATGAATTTTGAAGTCAGGCAACATTACTATTCAATACTGCCCTTTTCAAAGTTGATTTCTGTTAGGTCCGCTGACATTTCCATGTACATTTTAAAGAAAGTTTTTAAATTTCCAAAAAAAGCGCTAGAATTTTTTAATCAGGACTGTATCAACTCTATAGATTAACTGGAGAAAACTGAAATGGAATCAATATTCAGTTTCTCCACCAATAAATACATTATACCTAATCCCTTATTTGGGAATTTTTAATTTCTATTAGCAGTTTTCAGCAATACATTTTCCATGTCACTTATATGAATCATATATTTCATATAAATGTATGTTCCCATAAAAAGTTTCTATTTCTGATGACAGTGCAAATGGTGCTGTTAATTCCAATTTCTCCTAGTGTACACCTCCACTGACTCCTACATTCACTGATCTTTTACCTTAGCAATCTTGCTAAACACACTTATTAATTCTAGTAGCTACTTTGTAGATTCCATGGAGTAATTCACAGACAAGCAATGTCATCTGGGAATAACAGTTTTCTCTTCCTTTTCATTCTGAATTCCTTTCATTGCTTTTAATTGCACTACTTAGAACCATTAGTAAATGCTGAATAGAATGAAAAGCAACTTATCTTGTTCTAACTATTGTGCTTATGGACAAAGCATTTTCTTTGATTATTAAAGAATGATAGCTTGCAAGTTTTTCAGATCCCCTTTATCAGGCTGAAGAAATTCCCTTCACTTCCTACTCAGAATTTTTGTTAAGAAATGGCATTGAATTCTGTCAATTTCTTTGCTGCGCCTACTGAAATTATCACATGGACTTTTCTTTTTGTGCCCTAACACAGCAAAGAGGTTGTTTTTAGAACGTTAACCCAATCTTGCACTCCTAGAATAAACCAAAGTTGACCGCAATATATTATCTTTCTAAAAAATGTCAACTTGCTAAAGTTCTTTTAGAACATTTCTACCTCTGTTCATGAAAGACATTGGCAGTTTTCTCATGCCGCCTCCATCTGGTTTTAAGACTAAATTATAGCCTCACAGTTAAGGATCTGAGAAGTATTCCATCTATTTTAATGCTATGGAAGAATGAGAGTGATACTACTTCCTTAACTAGTTAGGTTTTAATAGTGAACCCCTCTGTTCCTAGAATATTCTTTGTGGGAACGTTTTTAACTCCAATTTCCAACTTCTTTCACTGACGCAGCATCATTTAAGGATGCACTTCGCAAAACAGGAGAATAGTATCTTGAGTGGCAGCAGGGGTGGTATGTGACTTTCAAGGTGGTAAACGTCTTTTATTTAAATTGTGGAATTCATGGACATAAATCTATTTCAAAATATTATCTCCTAATATTTATACAATCTGTAATGATGTTAATTTCTTATTTCCTGGTTAGTCTGGCTTGAGATTTTCAATACTATGAAACTTTTCCAAGGACTAGCTTTTCCTTTCATCAATTTTCCTTCTTGTTTTCCTGAAAATTTTCTACCTTCCTTGATCTTGGTTCTGATTTTTATTATTTTAGAGTTAATGTCTTCTCAGTTGTGCAAAAGCCAATACTACTATTTTAAGACTTCTTATTTTCTAATAATGCTGTTTAGGGTACTAAAATTGTCCCTTAGTATTACTTTCAGGACTTTAGTGGCATCCTACACACACCGATTTCTTATTTTTTATCTTGATTTCTGTTCTGATCTGAATATCCTTTAAAAACTAATGTTGATGCTTTTCACTGAAACAACATTAAGCTCTAGAATCTTTAAGGGATAAACGCTATCAGTGTGCAAGAGAGTGAGGTACTGAGGGAGGGCACTCCTGATACAAAGACCTATTTGCACCCGCCCTTCCTGGGTCTTGGATGTACTTGTCTGCACTTCCAATGTGCTATGACGGCAGCATGAAGAACCCCAACAGATGTGGCTCTTTGATTTCACACTTCTCTGCCTTCAGATGGAACCAAATAGAATTTTATTGCTTACAATTTACTTTCAGGGGCCAGGGAGGTGGCTCAGTAGGATAAGCGCTTGACTGGCAAACGCAAGGATCTGAGTTCAATCCCCGGTTCCACCAAAAAAAAGAAAGAAAGAAAGAAAGAAAGAAAGAAAGAAAGAAAGAAAGGAAGGAAGGAAGAAAATAAATAAATTAATTTACTTTCAGTGTGAAGTGTTGTTACAGCAGCAGAAAACGGATAAGGGTATTTTTAAAAAACTGCTCTAATCCCCACTATGAGTTCTGTTTGGCGGATGTTCTGGACCCACTTGGCATTACAGAACGGCCACCTGGTCTCCAGCTAATATTCTTTGCTCTGAAATCTACTTTCATTTTAACATAGCTACCCCAGCTCTCTTTTTCTCTCACCTTTTCTTTCAACTTATTTGCATGTTTGCAAATGGAGAGCTTTTCTTATCCTGCCAGGATGAAGGGCTTTTACGTTTCTTCTCAGTTTCTGCCTTTTAATTGGGGCATTGTGAGTACTGACAGGCTCGGGTGTAATCTATATTCTGTTTCACCTGTTCATTGTTCAGTCTCATCTTTCTTTTGCATTAATTGAATTTTTTGTTGTTGCAATTTAATCCACTTTGTTGGCTAGCAATGACTATTTTAGTACTTGCCTCACAATACACATCTTTAACTTCTAATAGTGTACTTTGAGTGACACCCTATTACTCGTACACAGAGTAAGAACTCTAAAGCAGTGCATTCCATTTCTCCCATTCCGTTCTTGGGGCACTACTGACACACACTTTAGCATCAGTAGAGTATAAAATGCTCTCTATACTGTTTGTTTAAATGATAGTAGCTTAACAGTGCTACTGTACCAAAACTACAATGTGCTCGCTGGCTTCAACTACAGAAATGTATATAATTATTATCTCACAGTTCTGGAGGCTACAGACCCAAGATTAAGATCTGGAGAGTTGCTTCAGTCTCTCTAGGTATGAGGGAGACTCTGTTCTATGGCCTCCCTGCCTCACTTCTAGTAAGGTACTGACCATCCTTGTTGTTCCTCAGCTTGCAAATGCATCCCTCTGCTCTGTACCTTCATCTTCACTTGCAGTGCTTCCTGTGAGCTTCTTTCTGACTCACAACGTCCCCCTTTATGAGGGCAGCACAGCCATCTGGACCAGGATCCAGCCTAATGGCTTCACTTGAACTTGACTACAACTGTAAAGCACCTATGTTCACCTGAAGTCGCATACTAGGGCTTAGGACTCCAATGTATCTTCTTTATAGGGACACAAGTCATCCTATAACAATGGTCAATTATTTTTGAAAGCGATATAAGAAAACAGAAGAAACAATATTTTTTACCCAAGCAGCTATCATTTCCAGTACTCTATACTGTACTGTCCATCCATAGTTTCACTTGACTAATTCTTCCTCAACGTTTCTTGTCATATCAATCTATTGCTGTGGAACTCCTTCAACTTTTACACCCATGAAAAAAACTTACTTCATCTAAACTTTGGAAAGATTTCTGTTGTATATGAAATTTTGGGTGACAAAACTTTTTCTCTCTCAGTGCTTTAAAATTTTATGACTATGTATAAGACTTATTATTTTAGAAATTCTATTATGATAGCCTTGGTATAATTTTCTGTGACTGAGTTTGTTGAACCTTTTGGATTTGTAGATTCAGAGTTTTCATCAAATTTGGAAAAATTTTGTTCACTGTTTATTCAATCTCCTGTTTTGGAAAACTAATGATGCTTATATTTGCCTACTGTGTTTCAATTTGCACATATTCTATTGCCATATCTTTCTCATAATGTATGATGGGTTAATCCCATGAAATATACACCTCATGTCATATACTGTAGAAGACAAATCTGGGTATTTTTCGACAATCTCATGCAGTTCTTGGATACACATTTACGGATCAGATTCAACTGAATATAAAAGGGGGGTTTTACGGGCTTTTGAAATTTCCCTCTGTTTGGCTCTTTCATTTTTTATAATTAGTCCTATATATTTCAGCTGTCAAACTCCCAAGGCTCTAAGAGATTCACTCCAGCTCCACAATTCAGGGAGTCAGATGGGCTCTGCTTGGGTTCCTCTAGTCTGAGACACATTTGCAAACCCCCACAAGGCTGGTACAACTTCAGGATACGCATTATTCATCTTCCATTGTTAGTAAAGGGATCACTACCCTTTACTACCTACTGTTCAATGTGATGTAAACGGACTCATTTATTTTTGTCTACTTTCTATTCCTTTAGGTAGGTGTAAAGTGGCTACATGTAGCTCTGTTATTCCATTTTGGCTAGAATAGTAAGTCTTCTCAGTTTTTTTTGTTTGTTTTTGTTTTTTTTTTCTTTAAAGTACAGGGCCCTGCAACTACTAAAGTCAGATTTTAACACTGACTTTACAAATAACAACTCTTTTGCCTTCCCTAATGACTATACAGTTCAAAGCTTACAGTCTTATCTATAAGCAATTTTAGTATTTTAAAAATAGTATCGAAACCTGAGCTTCAGAGCAAGTGACTATCATGCCTCTGCAGTCCCTAAAGACCCTCCAATCATGTCTTAAAGGGGCGAGAGGGTCCATGCACAAAGCCCCTTGCACTTGACACCTGCAGCCCCTGATGCTTTAGAATTCTCTGCAGCAGTCAACTAAGAATAGTCATTTTACTGTAGAGCATATATGTGTCTTTAGGAAACAAAGATAATAGTAATGGTTTTAGTTCTTATTCCTTAATGTTACTCAGCAGATTCGGTTATAGTCACCAAAATGAAAATCAGTTAAAGATTCAGATCAAGGCCGACACTTGGTGCAGAAACTTTTCAGTAATAATACCAAACATTTCTTCAGCACTCACTATGTAATAACAGGTATGCAACATTCTACAAAATATGACTCATTATTAAACCTATTTATGGACAACGAAACTGAGGCAAGAAAATAGTGGAGAGATTCCAATCTACTTTGCAAGTAAGACACTATGCTTTTACTTAGCAAGTATTTAACATAACAATCATTGTACTAAGTGCTAATAACAGTAAGAAATTAAAAAAAAAAAGTAAGAAATTCAGTAAGAAAAAAAACACAGTAAGAAAAAAATTCCTAACCCAAGGAGTTTTACTCTAACCCTTATTCTCTTTATCATATTTACAAATACAAGCCAGGCTGGGGTGTATAGCTCAGCAACAAAATGTTTTTCAAACATGTACAAGGCTCTGGTTCTGACCCTCAGCACCAGAAAAATAAAAGCATTTTATAAAATGTTTTTAATGTCTGGAGCTATATAAAAAATAAAGAGTCATACATTATTCAGGAAGAAAATATTCTTTTCCAATATCAGTAAGTGAATTACCCACCCTGAAGTCATCTAGCTTCGAGAAATTACTTTTAATAACAACTGGCATTATCTGAGTAAGACAACAAAGTTTAAGTTGGTAAATAAACTTTTCTCCATCACTAAGCTGAAATGACAGTGTGATAATAAATGACTCACTGGAATGTCCTCAAAGACAAAGAAAGATAGTATCATCCCAATTACTGAGGACTGGAGTTGTGTCAGGCCCACTATAATTCCCACAACCCCCAGAAATGTAGACGAAACCGTTGACCTAAAGGTAAGGAGCTCTATCCACTCACGCACCAATTTCATAAACTTTGGCCGACTCCAATGTCCTTGCTTCTTTTTGCCATTCTATCATGGCTCTACAACACAGTGAATTTCAGGAGATACATATTTAAAGAATAAACCCTATCAAACAAAATGCAAAGCATAAATACTACATCTATCTGGAAACTCTACTCAACTTTCTTTGACTGAAATGATGTTAACGTAACACTGTTTTACAATATTTAAATGAAAAAGACAAACATAGTCCTGGTCACACAAATACTGATTAGGTCAATGCTTAAATATTTCAAAGGAGACAAACTTAATTTTCAACAGCGATAATCTCTTATCTCCCGGTACACAGGAAACACAAATGTGCTGTTTTAGGAATGTAAAGACAGTGCCTTTCATTTGTAAATATACATATAAAATACTCATAACTGAAAATGAAATTATACATACCTCCACAGCAGGTACAATGTCTATGCCAACAGTTAGAAATTCTTCAAACTTCAAAAAGGGGTTAAAGCAGCTGCCAACATCAAGTAATCTGATCTTTCCTGAGGCTTGTAGCAACCTAAAAGCAGGTATTTCACATTATAAGAAGTTAAAACTTAAAGTATAAAAAAATTAAAATTTCTGAGAATAAGAGATCATAAAGATTACTGATTCCTTAACAATTTGATTTCTGGGACCGGGGACATGGCTCAGTAGAATAGGTGCTCCCCTGGCAAGCGCAAGGGACTGAGTTCAATCCCCAGTTCCAAAAATAAATTTTTTTTTTATTTCTGTATAATGCTCCAAAGATTTCTTTCACTTAATTATATCCATTAATTACCATATTTGAAGTTAAAAACAGTATTTATGAAACAAATTGTCTAATCCTATAAATTATATTTTCAAATGATCAATACTGAAGTCACAAAGGGTCACAGAAAGTGAGACCTTGCTTTGTATTTCTGAAGTCTCTTTACCATCTTGCAAAACAGATCAGTGCGTTCTAGGACTGGGATTCGACACAGTGGTAGAGAACGCTTGCCTAGTGTGTGTGAGGCCTTTCAGTTTGATCCCCAGCACTGCACAAAAAGACAAAAGCAGTAGATTTGAATGTCTCCTCTGCCTTCAAGCTGTTGCAACATCACACACCATGAGGTCTCTGGAAAACTCTACTATACACTCATGAGAGAACACAAGTAAAAATGAAATGATACGTCATTGTTATGAGACTAATTTTTCCATCAGCAGAGACTCTGAGAGGGTCTCATATCCACATCATCAGCTTGAGAGTTATCTTTATAGAGGACAAACGCATTCTCAACTAGTTCTCAGCAGTCAATACAACAGTGTCTTTGGAGTCTACTTTGTCTCAATGATTCAAAATGACCAAGGAAAACAGCATCCACAGAACAGTATTTTCTGAGAGTGGAGTCTCAGTCTGTTGGCCAGGCTGGGCTTGAACTCACAATCCTCCAGCCGCAGTCTCTCAGTAGCTGTCTTTCTTGTCTGCCTGGCAAAAATTAGGAAACTGCTTATTGTATACAAGTTTTTCTCATTTCAAAAGCTCTACAAAAAAAGAGGTAATGAATTCATCAAAACAAAACTACATGTGGACCTGTAATATAGATGAAGAATTTTGTAGTCACAAATCTGTCATACTAATTCTCAGACAGTAAACCTCTCCTAAAAAAAAAAAAAATTCAACCAGAAAAAAAAGAAAAAAAGAAAGACAGACAGATCGATCGACCACAGTAAAATCAAAAAAGACCAAAAACAAACGAGGCAACTGGGCACATAAACCCTGGCCACAGTGAGGATTTCTATTTCTCAGACAGTAAAGCAACAATAAAAATACTGCATTGACTTCACACATGATCTTTT